TGTAAGCTTTTCCAGAGACACCCTGACAGACACACCTAGAGACAGTGTCTGGCAGCCACCTGGGCATCACTTAGCCGTCAAGTTGCTGCATAAAATTAAGCACCACAATGACCCATTTTCCCCATTAACCCAGGAGCATTCCCTGGAACCCTGTTCCCTGGCGTGAGTGTGGGAAGGACTTGATTAGGAGAAACCGAGTCTGCGGTCCTCCGAGCACATGGGTCATGTGACCAGCACTGCTCTCTGGAGCTCCAGAAAACGTCGTGGGAGAGTTCCAGTGCAGAGCCTGGCTGAGACTCGGGGCTGCAGCCTCCTTGCCTCACCTGCTATCACAGGCCCTGGACCCATGTCCCAAACGCGTTGGAGGGGACAAGGGTGGGAGGGCTCACTGAGGGGACGCACTGCAGACTCAGGGTCACAGGAGGAGGGGTCAGGCAGGTTGGCTCCTCCAATACAGGCAGGAACGTAAGAGAGTGTGCTGACATTTCTCTTCCCTCCCGGGCTCGGAGGTCTGTTCCTCCTGTGAGGGGTTGCCAGGAATCTGCTGCTGTGGGAAGGGAGTTGTCGTGGGATTCGGATCTGCACAGCGTCTGAGATAGATGCGGCTACTGTGAGTGAGGTGGAGATATGGGGCACGGGGCTGACCCCCCTTGACACTAAATACGGAGGATTTCATCGAAATTGCTCCCCAAAATGCCGCAGAAGTTGATCTTTGTCTCCACCTGCAGACTGAAAGCGGAGCTGCAGGTTCCTGGCCTCAGAATAGTCTTTTAGGGGCAGAGACTGGAATTTGCTTGGGGGTAAATAGACTCTGTTTTGGTCAAATACTAGCAAACCCTTTATTTAGTTACACAAATGTGAAACCCAACAGGAAGTGAGCTCAAGTAACTCAAACACCAGTGCTTCTGACCAAGACAAACTTCTCTGTTGGTGCTCATTTCGTTCATTTCTGTCACGTTCATTTCGGAAATGGTTGTATGTTTTAGCAGAATGGCACCCAGGAAATGTTGGGTCCCATTAAGTTTTCTTTCTCACTTTCACTTTTCCTCCCTAAATCTGAGTGTGGACCCGGGGGGAGCTGCCCTGAGTTGTGCAGACAGTGGGGCTTAGTGGCCAACGTTTTGAGCAGTTGTTTGTAGGGCCTGCAGTACGGGAGGGATCACCATGAGATAAAAATGTGCTCAAAGGGAATGTTGGAGTGACACCCGGTTACAGGAGACCCTGAACACATCACCCTCTGTATGACATTGCTGCAGAGCTTCCTGGAATAAAAACATGGGCTTTTATGTATCAACCACTGCCCATGTGCGGAACCCACAATACATACACACACACCAGACACTCATGCACACACACAGTTCATGTGCACACAGGTGGACACAAGTTCATGAACACATATACCCACACCCAGACACTCATGCACACACACAGCACATACACACACCCAGACACTCATGCATACACACAGTACACATGCACACAGGTAAGTTCATGCATACACACACACACACACCATACACACATGTGCACACATACCTGCGTGCACTAACACACACACAGCCACACAGCACCTCCTTCAGGCCTGTTTTGGGCCGTCTCCTCTGCCGGGACCATCCTGCCCTGCTCACGCCTCCCAGAACCTCAGGAGCGGTCACCATGCGCTCTAAGCACTAGCTTACTGTCTCGGCTCTGACCCTGCCCATGTGCGGAACCCACAATACATACACACACACCAGACACTCATGCACACACACAGTTCATGTGCACACAGGTGGACACAAGTTCATGAACACATATACCCACACCCAGACACTCATGCACACACACAGCACATACACACACCCAGACACTCATGCATACACACAGTACACATGCACACAGGTAAGTTCACACATACACACACACACACACACACACACACCATACACACATGTACACACATACCTGTGTGCACTAACACACACACAGCCACACACAGCACCTCCTTCAGGCCTGTTTTGGGACGTCTCCTCTGCCGGGACCATCCTGCCCGCTCACGCCTCCCAGAACCTCAGGAGCGGTCACCATGCGCTCTAAGCACTAGCTTACTGTCTCGGCTCTGACCCTCCGGTTCACTCTGAGATGTGAATAGTGGGTAAGACCCACAGTGAGCCGCTCCCGGGAATGTCCATGAGGATAGTGCTGAGTTGCTGGTTGTGGGATGAAGCCTCTGGTGTGGTCACCGGGGAGGAGAAGGCGTTTAAGGGACAGCTCGGGAGGTGGCATCTCTGAACGGCACCTGTCAGAAGGCACTTCAGGTCTCCCTCTGAAACCCCCAGGACCACAGCCTCCATTGTTTCCCCAGAGCCCTGCAGGCTCCCGTTGGCACTGTGTCTTCTAACTCTCACGGAGCCTCTCGCTCTCCTGAGCACGAACACAGACCGGCATACATCAGGTGCACAAATGGTGTTTCACGTGAGTAGAGAACTTGATCCAATTCACTTGGCTGACCCTTCTCTTCTGGGCTGTGCCCACAGCCACCAGGCATGCCACGTTCCCTGCCATGCGTGGGCTCTGCTCAGGTTGGGTCAGGTGAGTTACCATGAGTGAGGGAGATGAGGGACTGAGGCCAGAGATGGGTCAAGCCAGAGTGCCACACTGACCCCAGGGCAGTGCCCAGCAGAAGGCCTGTAGGTGCGGAGGGGAGAGCAGGAAACCGAGCTGAGCTGAAGGGGCAGCAGCAGGTGGGTTTGGTGTGGACCTCCAGGGCCCAGGCTTAAGACCCAGGTCTGACTTGAAATCCTGGGATGACTCCTCCAGGCCTCCTACATGAAGTCTAACCTCCCTCCAAGGGACTCACAGTCAGGCCCCACCTGTCTCCTCAGCCACAAGCCCTGGACCCCAGCCCACAGGTGACTCCGCGCACTGGGTGGGCGCTCCATCATCACCTCCCTGAGTCGTTCTCTCTGCCTGCAGTGCCCCTCCCCACACTCCCTGTTGGGAAAAGTCCATTTTCTCAGAGGCGCAGGTTAAAGGCCCTGCCCTCGCGAAGCCTGCCTGCCCCGCCACCAGCTCCAGCTCCAGCTCCAGCTGCAGCGGCGCCGTCCCCTTGCTGCCCCAGCTCCTCAGGCTGACCCGACAGGAACCAAGTGATCATCTACCAAGTTGTTGGAGATTTTGCATTTGCTCAGCACCTCCCGCTGTACCAGCAGCTGCTCTGGGCACTGGTGAACCAAACTTAAACAGAACAAGCCCTCAAAAGGCACAGGGTAGTCCCAACCAGAAACACCAGGCCATGGAGAGGCAAGGGAAGAACCTAGACGGGTCAGAGCCATGGAGCCCGGCATGACTATCCTCTGGCTTCCCTTTGCATCTGAAAATTAACCAAAGCTCTTACTCTGCCTTCGAGGCCCTCTGATCAGCCCTGTGGTCTTGCTCACCTCCTGACCCTCTGCATTGCTCTCCATGCTGCAGCCCCCTGGCCTTCTGCTGCTAAATGAACACCACGCCCCCTGGGTCCCAGGGCCTCTGCGTTGGCTCCTCCTCCCTGGGATCACTCCTCGCCCACTCCTTCCTGTCCCTCAGTCTCAGGTCATGTGTCACCTCCTCAAAAAAGTCAGAGTCACCTCCCTGTCCACCTCACTGTTACCACCCTCTATCAGGTCAGTTGCCCTTGCTTGTTTGTTTGTTTGCTTGTTTAGTGTTTCTCACACTCAATTATCAGCTCCAAGGACCTTGGCTCTGTTCCCCATTCTACCCCAGCTCCTGGAATCAGAGTGGAATACACTGTGGACGGCCATTGGCATCAGATGCTCCACCACGTGCAGCGCGTTATTTCACTCTCTCGGTACAGGCTCCTCGCCTGTCAGAAGGAGGTCAGGAGCGCCCCCTGTGGGTCGCTCTGGGTGAAATCATAGTGCTCTGAAACTCCTTGGCCCACGGCACCTGTTGCACAGATGTGGGGCGATTTTACGAGAGAGGAATGGTGCCAGCAGCCCACCCGCTCTGAGACCGGCTCCCTGGGCTCTGGCTGGCCGGCGCCCTACCACACATCCTCTATGAGTGGAGAGAGACCGAGCTCTGAGGATGAGTGTCAGTTCTGGCTGCAAACGCTCCAGCCTGTATCCCAGCTCTAACAAGTCACCTCAACATATTGGTTCCACTGGGACCTTAAACTGATCCCGTCCAGTAGAAACCCACTGCCCGTCCCTCGCTGCCCCTCCTTGCACCTCACTCATCAGAACCAGCAGACGAGTAAAGGTACTGATCATCAGTTGAATGACTGATACATAGGAAAGTTGTAAGACTTGAACTAAAGCTGAAACCGTTAGCAGCCCAAGGCGTTGTCTGTGAACAGAGGAGGACAGCTGGGTTCTTCCTGGAGCGTCTTGGCTGTTCTGGAAGCTCTGGAGCAGAGGGACTAGAGGAGCAGCTGTGACCAGCCTTCTGGGGACTCCTCAAGGTTCCCCTGGCATTGGACACAGCACCGGGGCCTGAGGCCCTGTATCAGTTTCCTGCGGCTGCTGTAACAAACCACCATACACGTGGTGCTGAAAACAGCACACATTTAATATTTCGCAGCTCTGGATGGCAGGTGCCGGAAATGGCGTCATGGGATTGAAATCATGTAGTCGCAGGGCTGTCTCCTTCTGGAGGTTTTAGGGGAGAATCGTTCCCTTGCCTCGTCCAGCTTCTGGACCACCTGCACGCCTGCCACAGCCCCTTTCCATCTTTAAAGTTAGCAGCACCGCATCTTCCCATCTCTCTCTGACTCTTGCCCTCCTGCCTCCCTCTTATGAGGACCCCGTGAGACATTGCCCATCCCCCCTCCGCCCCATAATCCAGGATGGTCTCCCCATCTCAAGACCTTTAACTTACTCCGAGTCCCTTTGCCTTGTAAGGTAACATATTCCCAGGTGCTGGGGGTCAGGAGGTGACATTGCTGAAGGGCGTCGCTCTGCCTACCACCGGCCCCGAGCAGATGAGCCTGCTTTGGGGGCCGCAAGCTGGACCTCTGCCTGCTGCCTCCCTACCGACTCTGTTCAAAGTAGAACTCAGTGCGGGCGGAGGGTTCAGTCTCCTCAGCCAGTCGAACCGGCTGCTGGGGCTCAGCCGGGCCACAGAGAAACCAGCCCGGCCAGGCTGCAGCCTCGAGCCTGAAGGCGGAGCCCAGGCTTCTCTGGAAGAAGGTGAAGCGTGTGGCCTGCTCGCCGCCCTTGTACAGGTCCTCGATGCTCACATCCTGGGGGAGAAAACAGCCGGTTGCAGGGTGAGGCTGCGGAGGAGGCTGTCAGCCCTGGAGGCCGCAGGGCTTAGCCAGGGAGGGACTGGGCAGGGAGGGTCTTTACTGGGAACGGCCTCCTGAGGGCTATGGGGGGCAAGGGTCTTGGCCCTGGGTGCAGAGGGAGATGGCAGAAACCTGCAGGAGAGGGACATGTGGACCTGGCAAGGCACCCACAGGTGGGAGCAGAGATGCCAGAGTGCCCTGGAGGACAGGCGGCTCTGCAGGGTCCCCTAGAACAGGACACGTCTCACCTCCAGCTTCAGGGCAGGCCCCTCCCCTGTCTCCACACAGGCCAGGCAGCGCCTGCCTCCCTGGATCCCCAGGAAGATGGGAAGTTGGGTGCGGTCCAGGCCTCTGTTGGGAAGTATGCAGATCTTCTCTGGGAAGGAAGAGAGGAGAGAGCCAGGGCATGAGGGGACCCACATCACAAGCTCTGGACGAGCCTCGTTTGGGCAGGAACTGGGCCAGGGCCCAGCAAGATGAACTGGGACACCTTCAGGGTCGTGCCTTCTTACTAGGAGGGGTCTCAGTTGTTCCCTGTCTCTTCTCACTGTCCCCAGAGGCAGGAGGGCAGGGGAGAGCATGTGGCAGATGGAGCCTGGGCGGGTCCCAGCAGCGGAGGCTCAGGGCTCACCTGCACAGCAGTTGTCCGCATCAGGGTCTCCCACCAGGAGCTGGTCGCCTCTTATGTACAGAGCCTTCTGGTCGGCATCCTTAATTCTGGAACAGATGGCAATGCTGATGGCACCGCTGAGCCCCAACCCTACAATCTGATTACATACTAAGTATCTGGGGTTTTTCTCCTCCTACAGGTGAGAAGGGGCAGATAAGGACTAGGTCATCTTAAGACAGAAAGGCCTTCTGGATCTCGTAAGAGGCTGCACCTCCTCCCTTTACAAGGCTTGGGCTCTGTCAGGCCTTCAGGGCATTGAGGGGAGCGGGTGCCATCTCACGGTGGGGTAGAGAAGTTTCTGGACGATGTAGCCCTTTTCCCCTGCCTTCTGGAGAAATCTCTTCAGGAGGCTGCGATGGCTCTGGGATACAGTGAATCTTCTCCTGGGTTTTCTGGGCCTGCCCCAGTTTTTCACAGATGTTTATTCTCTTATTGAAGGAATCAATTGAGTGTATATTGAAGTGTGATTTGCTTTTCAAATATTTAAACACTCTTTAATAGAAGGAAATCCATAAATTGGGGAAATAATTTTCTATGTGATGGTAAATAAGGTCCCCTGTACCGAGCAGGTGAACTCTGGGGCACCCATGTTACGGGGGCCAAGTAAGGAGGTCGGCAGAAAGCTGGAGCGGCCTGATGACAGCCACTGGGCTTGGCCGTGGTGGCGATGCTGGGGGCGGGTGACTGTGCCTGGGGCTGAGAAACTGTACTGAACGAGCGTGTGCAACCTCAAAGCCGTGTGGCCATTAGCTCAGTCGCCTGGCTGGTTTCAGAGACGTTTGTCAGGCATTCTCAGGCCCGAGCAGCCTCCTTACTTTCCAGGGCAGAGGCTCGGGGCCAACGCCGCTGCCTCCAGGAGAGCTTCCTTTCTCAATAACAGCTCATCACAACACCCTTAGCTAATGACTGTGTTTAAAGCAAGTTCACTTACACAATAAAAAATAAGCATCTGAGGAGCCTGGGCTTGCCAACTGGTCCTCCAAGGCAGTATGCAATGCGCCTGCCAGCAAGAGTCTATTTGGAGACCTGAACCCAAGCCAGATACCCCAAGGTAGGCACCTGTCTTGTCATTTGCATGTTTTGTGCATGTGTCTTGCCTTCCAGCCATGCCGTGACTTCCTGGGGCTCCGACTGGCCCATGTCGGGACAGGATGGCCATGCAGGAGCGGAGGACAGGCACCCCAGCAGCCAGTGTATTTTATTCATTACATCCCATCACCTTCCCTAAGGGCCGGAGGTAATTTACATAAAAAGTCATGGACAGTAAAGAGTAAACTGTAAGTAAACACACAAATGTCGAACAAGATAAAATGCAAGCAAGACACAGAAACCCAGGTTAGGAGTGAGGCCACGGAGGCCAGCATAGAGCGGTGTTGTCACTGAGACGCAGAATGGTCCCTGAGCTTTCAGAGGGAGGATGGAGCAGCACAGAGAGTGTGCAGTCTGGGCCCTGGCTTTGGGTGACATCCGGGAATTTGTTTAACTTCTGAGCCTGTTTCTCGATCAATAAAATGGGCTTAGTAACAACCCCTCATCGATTTCTTAGGATGGAGACAAGGCAGTACATGGCTGGCATCTTGCAGATGCTCAGGAAAGAGACTATTGCTATCGGGGTGGTGATCACGCTTAATTACAGGGCATTTGAGGTTTCTAGGGTAAGAAGGAGGCTTGCCCTTCTGCTTCGGCCTCTTTCCTCTCCCGCATCATCCCCAGGCTCCTGACGAAGAAAGGGAGGACTTACATGTAGTATCTTGCCATGGGGAGGGAGCACATTCCTGCAATCCCAGGTGACTGGTCCTTGTTGAGGGAAAAGAGAGAAGGGCTGTCAGAGGAGGCAGTGGAGCTGGGGGCAGACACCCCTTGCGCCCCAAATCCCCAGTCACAGGGTGGAAGGTCCCACCAGGCCGCTGTTCCGTAACTGGCCCCCCGAGTCCACCAAGGTCTCCCTAGCCCTGTACACTCCAGGCAGCGCTGGCCCCTCTCATTTGGGCACCTGGGAACAGGTCGAGCTGGCTGGGGTGTGAGCTTGAGAACGTGCCCTGGTGCCAGCCCTGCGAAATCAGAGAATACGCTCCCCAAATGGTTTCTCCAGGAGCACTTCCCACGGCTGAGCCTGGGGGGAGGGGGGGGAGAGGGCTGGAGCCTCACAGCTTGAGGATGGGCTCCCTGGAACCTCGCCCCACTTCCCAGGGGCATAGTCACCACAGCCGCCCTCCCCCACTGAGCAGGAGGTGGGGACCCCGCTCTGCAGAGTGAGACAGCTGGTTCCGAGGGACTGGTCGCCTTGCCCAGACTGTGGACGAGAGACCATCCAATCCCTGACGAGCTCCCACAACGACACCATGTGGAAACAGGACAGGCTCGAGGTAGAGACACTTGTGTTTTTGAGGATGAGTGATCAAAACTGAAGCCAGTGTCCCCATATAAACACCAGGCCACAAAGCCTCTCCTTTCAGCCAGGTTATCTGCCCCAGAGCTTTGCCCTAACGTGACCTTCCAAAGGGCTGGTCTGGAATCTAGCTTGAAAAGAACCAGAGCAAATCAGGGCCTGAGTGTGGTAAGAGTTGGAAAATAGCCCAGAAAAGCAAAATGCAAGGATGGCTAGGGCTGGGGTGTACTGAGCAGGTAAGATTCTCACCAAGAAGGGAAAAGGGAAGAAATAAGGTAAGAGAGCAGAAAATACAGGGGGTGGGAGAAGAAAGGCAGTAGAAAGGAGCAGGGCTCAGAGAGGGAGAGGGAGGCACTGAGAGCACGTGGACGCAGATGAGAGGACAGGTTGATGCTGATGGTGGGCTCAGCCACCTCAGCAGCACCGAGCTCCTAGGCCTGCATGTTAGAAGGAGGTGGGGCCGAGATAGCTTTAGTGCTGGATCTGCCTCAGTCCGTTGGACAGCCCATTTCCTGTCTCTGGGCTTTGCAGTCAGAGTGAGGGTTGGTGGGAGTAAAGGATAACAGGGCACTGGGCAGGACTGCAATTCTGGGTGATACTGGTGATGTGATCAAAGTATTAAAGAAGTCTTCGTGCTTGGTAAGTTCATCCATTGCCCTTATTCTAATGAAACATAAGAGATTGCCCAAACATGCAATCACAAAGATCTCACTACATCACTTTTCACAATAGCAGGAAGTTAGAAATACTCTAAATCTATACTAAAAAAGGATAATATGCTAATTAGACCAGGTTGACTGGACATCTAACTTCCTTCTGGACAAAGCCAAGGTGGCAGGGGCTGAGGCGGAGGCAGATAGGGGCGATCAGGCCAGCAGGGGAGCAGTTAGGAGCCAGCAGTCCCAGATTGCGAGAGGGATGTCCAACTGCTGGTTTAGGCCCCATCCCCCTAACCGCTCTTACCTCCCTCCTGTGCACGAATTTCATGCACCAGGCCTCTAGTGTTCAATAATAGGCCATTGGTTTAAAAATTATGGCAATCTAGTAAATAAGAAAAGTATGTGTACATTAAACATGATATTGTAGGAGATTTTATTACATAAAAATGTTCCAAATATACCAAGTGAAAAGTGCAGGATATAAATAATGCATAGGTTATGATTCCACTGAAATCCACAGGCATTCAAAAACACAGAAGCAAAGGAGCCCACATCACTATAGCACTGACCTGAGGTAGCAGGATCATGAGTGGTTTTTATTTTTTTAAGATGTTAACATTCTTTCTATATAAATATAAATTTTAGTTTTAATATAAAGTAAGTTTTAAATTTTTTTTTAATCCTCACCCTAGGATATTTTTTCATTGATATTTTTAGAGGGAGTGGAAGGGAAGGGGAGAGACAGAGAGAGAGACAGAAACATTGATTGGTTGAACCTCAACCTGGGTCCAGGGATTGAGCCTGCAACTGAGGTACGTGCCCTTGACCAGAATCTAACCTGGGACCCTTCAGTCCAATGCTCTATTCACTGAGCCAAACCAGCTAAAGCAGTTTTAATTTTTTTAAGTGAGGTGTTCAGATAAAGTCACTGGCTCCCAAAAGTGCCTGCCCATTGAGTCACCTGGGGGCTCTTGATGAGTCTTTCCTGAGCTTGGCGTGATCCCAGTGATCAGCCAGGCTTGGACCGCTAGGCTAGCTCAGTTCTCTCTCTGGTGAACATGTAATTCATTTGCAGCTATTGCTAAAAGCAGATTCTAATTCCCTCAGTCTGGGGTGGGACCTAAGACTCTGCATTTCAAACTCACAACCAAGGGACAATGCTGCTGGTCCCTGGGCCACACTTTGAGTAGCAAAGCACCGGATGATCCCCCAGCCTAGAGAGGCCCACAGCAGCATGGCCTCGACGAAGCCCACCTGATGCTGTGTCTCTCTCAGCCAAACTCTGGGGGATTCTTTGGTTATGGCAGCAGAAGTATACACATCCAGGTAGCTGTGCCATGGTCTGACTGGGGCAGACCCAGTGGAGGGCCCTGTGTGAAGCTGGACCAGCAAGATTCCCACAGTCAGTATCAGCTCAAAGAACCCGCAGAAATTCAGGGCAGCTGAATCCCCTGGAGCCCCAGAAGCCCCCAGGCCAGGCATAGCCCCAAATCCCAGTGTCTCCCCTACGGGCTCCCACATCAGCCCCTGCCTGAGTCCTGGCTACACTGTGATGCAGTGAGGAGGATGGAGAAGTCCGTGGCTAGTCCATCAGGGACCCCAGAGGCCTCGGTCCCTCCCAGTGTGCCACACACTCCATCCTCAGAGCCTTTCCTTCTCTTTTGCCCCCAAGTGGCCTTTCACTGGACTTTGTCCTGTACCCCTCCCTGAACACCATCTCTGGCTGTCACAGAGCTCATCAGTTCTCCTGTCCTGGGTCACATACCAGCACCAAATAGCCCCAGACATCCTCCAAGCTATTTGCACACCATCCCTATCCTATCTTCTCCTCGGTCTCCTACACGTGAATATGTTTCTCTAAGACCCACATTAGCTCCTGTGGCACCAAATATAGACTCTTTCTGAATCCTCTGATAGTTGGCCACTGCCCCTTGGGACCCTTGGTGTTGACTACCTCCCTTCACATCTCTCCGTGTCCTCTTCTCAGACATTGTAGATTCTCCCTTCCTTCGGGAGTGTCCCTAATACTGGAAACCACACATCAAAGTCCTAAGCACTTCTCTTTCATTTCCCAGAGAGTTTCAATTCACCCATTTCCATAACTGCAATGATCATGTTAGTCTACACCCCCAAGTCCAGATGGAACACCCCAGTTTATCTCCAGCAGCTACAGGACACCCCCTTCTGGACATCTTGCCATTACACCCAACCAAATATCTCTAAGGTCAAATTGATCATCTCCTGCCCACCCATCCCCAGCCCATTCTCCCTCCCAGTTTCATTTCTCCCACCTACACAATCTTCCTCCAAATAGTGAGATTCAAAAACCTGAGGGTCATTGACCATTTCGCCCATATCTCCTGACTCTATGTTTGATTTATCAACAAGTCCTGATAGATTATTCTTTTAAAATGTAACCTTGTTTTCTTAACAGCCATTAGACCTTGCCTGTATTCCTGGTTTTTCTACCTTCAATCCAGACCAACATGGACTCATCTTCTAAGTACTGCTCTCACACATCCCCACCCAGCTCTGCAATCCACAGTGGCTGCCCTTTCACCACCCTCTGGCCCAGATCTACTTGTATGAGCATGTCTCACTTCTCCGTGGACACTGAGCCATCCCTCCAGGCATATGACTTCTTCCTACCTCCCAATGGGCACACTCAGGGCTGTCTTTGCTTCCCCTGCCTCAAAAGTCATTCCTCCTCACTGCCGTCCACTATGACCTATGGCAGGGGTCCTCAAACTTTTAAACAGGGGGCCAGTTCACTGTCCCTCAGACCATTGGAGGGCCGGACTATAGTTTAAAAAAAAAACTATGAAAAAATTCCTATGCACACTGCACATATCTTATTTTGAAGTAAAAAAACTAAATATTTGCATTTGCATGTGGCCCCGCGGGCCATAGTTTGAGGACCCCTGACCTATGGCATTAGGGTCACTGAACATGGAATCATTATCTATAGGCTAAATGTCTAGTTCTGCCAAATTAACTGGCAGCTCAGAGTAACAAGTCATACAAGTTCACTTAACCGCAACCCTCAGTTTCAGCATCTATAAAATCATGAAGTTAGAGTATGTGGTTATTAAGAATCAGATCAAACTATGATGCCGTGACTCAGAGTTTAATAAATCTTTCCTTTACCATCGCACCCTACTCTGCACTCCTATTAAATTTCACTATATTGTTTATTGTTCTAGCTACAGACATTTGTTTCCCTTATAAAAATTAACACGATCTTGCAGCCATAAAGCATGGCTTATAGCTCCCTCCAACCTCCTTCTGACACAAATGGTGCTCATGGGCAGGACACAGAACCATGCAGTGAATTTAAATGGCAAGGTGGGCTCAAGACCTAGTGCTGTTACTCATTCGTATTCAACCTTGGGTAGTCCCCTTTATCCTGGGCCTCCAACTTACTATCATTGGAATGAGAGGCTGGCCCAGGCAGTACTTTTAAAAACTAAGTTTTACACTGAATTTTTACACAGAAACTTGAAAGTAAAATGGGTAAAGGGGGCTTGCTTTTGCTGAGTCAAAGTGTGATGAAGACACCAGAACATGCGAGCATTGCCCTTGAGCACTAAAGTAGGCACTGGGGTATCTCTGAAGAGCCCAAACCTCACCAAGCACTACTGAACACCACTGGCCTAGAAAACTCCTCTGGCATTACATTCTAAAGTCTATAGTTCTAAATAATAACATTATCTTGATTCAACTTAACCTATAGTTTCTCCTCC